CCTGTTCCTTGTTTGTGGAGGGCAATGATCTCTTCTCTTAATTTTGTGGACCAAAGCCATATTTCTAGCATGCAAACGTGACACACGCCAAATCTCTAGAAAGTTCAGGTACTTCAATTAGTTGCATCAAGTGTTCTTGAGATAACACCTGTTTTGCATATTTATGCTGTTGCAAGGGATTCTATTCAGGGGATATAATAATTGTGAGACTGGAGAAGTCATAAATTGCATTATCAGCTTAATTTGGGGAAACTACTGAAAGCATTTGTTGTGTTGAGATATTCAGATTGCCTTTGTTTGATTTGTTCATTATAAAGTGTGTAAATTTTTACAATAAACCTGATTTTCAATGGGGGGTTGAATAATTTTGATTACACGTGTATAGGGGAAACATGCTTTTCCTAAAATTGTTTGTTGTGACTTTTTATTTATTTTTATCCCTTTACCTATACAAAAGCAAGTTAAGCCATTCAGTATGTTTGCGTGAAAGTTAAGATTTTTATTCACCTATTTTACTTTGTAATAACAAGCAAAAAGGAAGACGAATACTCGATACATTTTGAGTTGCCCAATGTAGGGCACATTGTTTAGGGACCAATATAATGGTATTAGTAAAATAATAACCCTGCAAATCAATCTTCAGTTTTTTGATAAGTCCACAGGAACTGAAATTGAAGTTACATTCTTAAAAAGGAAATGCGACTTTACTTCAAATTATACCTTTTGAGTAAAACATTGTACATAACCCACATCTTGTGTAATTAATTTTTTCACGTGATGCTCAGGCTTGATTTGTATATTAAAGGAACATTTTAATCACCATAACCATGAGTGCCCTGGAGCCATCGAAGTTGTGTTAAACTGTTTTTAGAATGGTTTGACAACCTTGGTTTCCCGTTGTCCCATGCCTCATTCAGTATTCTGCAGGAGAAGCATGATGTCTCTCTACTGTTAAACATGCCTGCACTTCTTGGCTGACTCTCTCAGCTAATGAGCGCAGTCCTGCATGGCCCTGCTTAGCTCACAAGAACCAGCTATATTTTACTGCATGGCACTCCTGTCACCATAATCACTACGCTGGACTAGAGTGTTAAAGATCTAACACCTGACTTCAAAATTCAGTTAGATCTGAGCACACACAAGGCATTGAGTATAAATATAATCATTTTTTTTCTTCTTAATGCATTGACTGTATTTAGAAGGGAAAAAAAATGAATGCAAAACCATGTTTTTGTCTAGTCTCTAGTGACTGCCAGTAGGAAGACCAATAGAGATATATTATGTTTTTTTAACCACAAAAAATGCAATGTTATATCTATATTGCAGGCTTAAGAGGAAAGGGCCACTGCACCCAAACCACTAACTTGGAGGAATACTCTCTGCACCAAACCAACTTTAGCTGAAAAGGACACTAAAGTCACCCAAACCACTTCATCTCAATGTGATGCGAGTACAGTTAATGTCCTTTTAAGCTAAAGTTGATTTGGTGCTCAGAGTATCTTATTTTGACTTATCTTGTTATCCATGCCAATTTACATAAGAAGGAAAGAACTTACTTTGTGGAAGATATACAGCTGCTCATTTTAGTTGGTCTCTCCTTAGTTGAGAGAGTGCTAGTGAGCAGATTTCTACTTTTCTTTCCAGAACTTTAAACTGCCTTTGCCATGCTCTATTTTTTAATAAAACTATTAACAGTTGTATATATTAACTAAGCTGTTGCTTTCGCACTGCACTAAGGATCTTAGCAGGCTTTGGGTTGGTGAAGTTGCGTTTTGTG